TAACTAAACCAATTTTAGGTGCAGATTTCTTAACTCATTTTGGCCTAATTTTGGATTTCAAAAATTCTAAATTACGCGATAGTGAAACTTCATTAGATTCTATTGGAAAAATGTTTAATTTTAAAACTTAAGACAACACAGGTTTACAAAATAAAAAAAAAGTCCGGACTATTTGACCAGACTATGGTATTCCTAGGTATTTTGTCATCCTGGATCCAATGCCGAGGTCAGTTTTACCCCATCACGTCAGAAAAACCAGATTTCCAGGTCATTTAGAGGTCAAAATTGTGATTTTTTTGGAACTGGCTCCGGGACAATTTCTCAAGCGATCTGTTAAGTTGAGGGGTAACTATGTAGGTCTTGAATACCTTCCAAACATTGGAAACGGTCGCCAAATCTCGACAAGGACCAGCGCAGGGCCAGCCATGTGGATAAAATGTCATGATCGTTGTATCTCGCGAATTTCGATCTCGCTGCCAAGGTGTTCAATTTCGGTGATCCATTTGCTGTGACATAATGCCAGTGGATTCAGCACTGACCCAAGTGGCCCTAGAACCTTGCCAGAACATTGGAGTTAAGCTCAAGTGGTTCGAGATAGTCGAGCTCGTGAATTTTGCTTCCCTTGCCAACACGTAGAATTTTGGCAATTGAGTTATCGTCAGTTAATGCCAGCACTTCTCAAAGTACTCCTAGAACATCGTTCAAAAATTGGGTGTAGCTGAGTATACTGTCCGGGGCAAACTAAGGTTGCAGAAACTGGCCCGAGGATCCCAACTCGCAACTTCAGAGTTAGTAATCCCCTGAGCCAGTTCTCCACCTTGGGCCAGACCTGAGCGGGACACGAAGCATAACCCCAATGTTCTGGCAAGGTTCTAGGGCCATTTGGGTCAGTGCTGGATCCACTGACATTATCTCACAGCAAATGGATCGCCGAAATTGAACTACTTGGTAGGGAGATCGAAATTCGCGAGATACAACGATCATGATTTTATCCACATGGCTGACCCTGCGTTTGTCCTGGTCGAGATTTGGGGACCATTTTCAATGTTTGGAAGGTATTTAAGACCTACATAGTTACCCCTCAACTAAACAGATCGCTTGAGAAATTGTCTTGGAGCCGGTTCCGAAAAAGCACCATTTTAACCTCTAAATGACCTTGAAATCTGGGTTTTTAGACGTGATGGGGCAAAACTGACCCTAGAATCGGATTCAGGATGCCAAAATACCTAGGAATACCATGGTCCGGTCAAATAGTCCGAACTTCTTTTTTTTTTGTAAACCTGTGCAATTCACCTAAACTATTTAATGTTGAGACTAAATATACGGAACTTTTTAAAAAATATCCTGGAATTTTTTCATCTCCAAATTTTAATTTATCTGCAAAACTTAACGTTAAACATCACATTATGACATAAGGAAACTTACCTTTTTGTAAACATAGACGTTTAGATCCTAAAAAATATCAAATTGCTAAACAAGACTTCGATCAAATGATTGAATTAGGCATTTGCCGACCTTCATCTTCTTATGTCACTTCTGCTTTATACATGGTCCAAAAAAAAAAACTTAAAAGATTGGAGACCTTGTGGAGATTACAGATTTCTAAATAAAGTAACAGTACCTGACAGATTTCCTTTAAGTTTAATTTCTGACGTTAATGTTAAATGTCATGGTTGTAAAATTTTCTCAAAAATCGATTTGGTTAGGGCAATCACCACTCCTTTTGGATCTTTTGAATTTCTCAGAATGCCTCTTGGATTGCGAAACGCTGGCAATACCTTTCAAAGATTCATTACCGAAGTTACTAGAGGCTTAGATTTTATTTTCGTCTATTTAGACGACATTTTAGTCGCTAGCAAAAATTCAATTGATCATTTTAAACATTTGGATATTTTATTTGAAAGATTACACTCTTTTAGCGTTAACGTTAAACCAAGTAAATGCATTTTTGGAGTTGAAAAAATTAATTTCTTAGGTTTTACTATTTCAGCGGAAGGATTATTTCCTTTAGACGAAAAAATAGAATGTATTAAAAATTTTCCTAAGCCGAATACTCTCAAACAATTACAACGTTTTGTTGGTATGATAAATTTTTATCACAAATTCGTTGCAAAATTCGCCCAAATTTTAGCACCTTTGCACGATTTTATAACATTTTTAGACAAATATAAAGTTAAAATTATAAAAGATTGTCCAATCGATTATGAAAAGAGTTTTAATGAAGTAAAAGAAGCACTTATTAAAGCATCTTTTCTGGCACATCCTTCAGAGGAATACATTCTATCACTTACAACAGATACTAGTAATTCCTGTGTAAATGGTGTTCTTGAACAAGAAGAAGATGGTGTTAGACAACCCATCGCTTTTTTCTCAAAGAAATTAACCAAATCGCAATTAAACTATAGTGTTTTCGATAAAGAACTATATGCAATCTACCTTTCAATCAAACATTTTAGATATACGTTAGAATCAAAAGATTTTAAAGTTTTTTTGTGATCATAAACCAATTCAAAAAGCAATTTTCTCCAAAACAGATAGATCTCCTAGACAATTCAGATATATAGAATATATTTTACAATTTACTAATAAAGTTTTTTACGTAGGTACCAAAAACGTAATAGTCGCAGATTTCTTAAGTATAATGGAATTAGATTTTATTTCAGTAGAAAAAATAGAATCGGAATTAGATTTAAAAATAATAGGAGACGAACAAAAATTAGATTTAGAATTAAAAAGTTTATTAGAGTCACAAAATCAAAATAATAATAAAAACAAATTTCATTTACAAAAAGTTCAAGTTAATTTCCCACCAGCAGATATATGGTGTGAAAATACTAATAATACTTTAAAACCTTACATTCCCAAGTCACAACGTTATAATATTTTTATTAAGGTACATAACGTGGCGCACACAGGAGGTAAGAGCACTTTAAAATTGATAAAAAATAGATATTTTTGGCCAAGAATGAGCAAAGATATACACTTATGGTCAAAATCTTGCATAAATTGTCAAAAGGCAAAAATTTCTAAATATACAAAATCACCAACAGGTGAATTTTCAATCCAAAAAGGTAGGTTCCAACACATCCATATGGATATTGTTGGACCCCTTAAACCTTCAGGAGGTTGTCCTACCTATTAACACTTATAGACAGATATACGAGATGGGTAGAAGTTTATCATTTAGCAACAATAAGTTCAGAAGTAATTATAAAAATATTAATTATTAATTATATAGCTCGTTTCAGTGTACCTTATAGCGTCACACACGACCAAGGTAGCCAATTCGAGTCACATTTATTTAAAGAATTTAGCCGAATATTAGGTTTTAAAAATTTACACACTACTAGTTATCATCCAGAATCAAACGGAATGATAGAACGATTCCATAGAACATTAAAAGCATCTCTTATGGCCAAACTGCATAACAATAATTAAAAAGATGAACTACCATTGATTTTATTAGGTTTGAGAAGTGCAGTAAAGGAAGATTTGAATTGTTCTTCCGCTGAACTAGTCTATGGACAATCCTTAAGATTACCAGGAGATTTTTTTGTAGACAGTAGTGAAAGTTTTGATACTGATTCATTTTTAATTAAATTACAAGAACATTTCGATAATATAAAACCCACTAAAATATATAGACACGGTACAAAGAAATTTTTCATTTCACCAGATTTGATGGAAAATGATTTCGTTTTTGTTAAAGTTCAAGGTATCAAACCTTCATTAACTCCTCCTTTTGAAGGACCGTACAAAGTCATTAGTAGAAATGATAAAGTTTTTAAGATTTTAATTAATGGCAAAGAATCATTAATTAACATAGATAGGTTGAAGCCAGCCTTTTTATTAATAGAACAAGATGTTCAAAATGTTTTTTCAAAACCGAAGAAAAAGGTTTCTTTTGTTTTAAACCCAATAAGTTATAATTATAACTAAATCATTATTTTTATATGGGTGGTTTCTTTTTCTTTTTTTGAGCGCGGAGGTTATGTGGCGACATCATAGAACCACATAGTCTTACCTTTAGTTTTGACTTTTACGTCAATTTATTTTAAGGTTTCTTAGTCAGTTTTTATTTGAGGTTGGTCAAGTGTCAATGTCAGATGGTACCATTATAATGGGGGTTATGAATGACAACCTGTGTTATTTTTAACAGGTCTGTTATTTTATAAACACACAGAAATTTTAACCTGTTCACAATTAACGTGTCTCTTAAAAATAACATTACTTGTCGATCATAACCCCGAATATCACATATATTATGATCTTGGTCGATAGCTGCGTACACTAGCACCCTACTTATCCGATTTATGGTAACCATGGAAAAAGAAAAGAAAAAAGATTGATGGATTACGGATTTCGAAAAAGACAAAACAAGACGTACCTCGACACAACATTTTTCATATAATGTTTTTTTTATATTTTAAAATAAAATTATAATTATTTACTGAAATTCTGATTTCCTGCTACCTACAGTCTAGACGTTTAAAACTGGTTGAGGAAGATCAATCTAATTTACCAGAAAACTTTACATTAATGCAATCAATTAATCTTCTTCACTTAGTATCACATTTTTTGCATGTACCAAATACTCCAATGTGGACAGCTTTTAATTGTAAGCTACTACCTGATAATAGCTTAAAACAAAGAGTTTCATATTTAACACTAATTAATCTATCACCTACTAATACAGCTGTTGTGGTAAATACAATGGAACAGGCACAAGCAATAGTTAAATAATGCAAGCAAACGTATGTACAAGTCACTTATGACTTGGCAATATCTAAAATTGTATTAAAAATACAAGCAGTAGAGCATCCTCGATTTAATAATCTTTTTATACATCTTGGTGCATTTCACTTAATGACGGCTTTTTTAAAATCAATTAGTACGTATATTAATGAGTGTGGATTGAAAGTAAAATCATAGCTAGTGGATCAGTGAATGGAATTATTGAAGGAAACCATTTCAATAGTTGTAAACGTTTGCTTACCTTAATGGCTCTAGGCTTGCAAATGTTGCATTTTGATCAATTCTTAAAAACAAAAAGTACAAAATTTGATTTTCTGAAAGAGCTGATTTACGACGATCTTTTAGAGTACCAAGACACAAATCTTCTATCATCAATTAGGTCAGAGGAATTCTTAACTAATGGCGTATTATCTGAACTTTTTTGTTCATACAAACAATATGTAAATCGAACGCTGCGAGGCGATCATGGGAAAACAACTCATTACTATATGATTTATATACAGTTGGTCAACTATTACGTTACTTTATCAAGAAGCATGGGTGATTTTGAGATGTTCAAATATATAATTCCCAAAATAACTAATTTATTTTTTATGGTTAATCAACAAAACTACGCTCGATGGTGTGTTAAATATTTGGACAATTTAAATAACATTAACGAAACGCACCCAGGACTTGAAGATGATTTTAAGAAATGTTTCTTTGGAATTAAAAGAACCGAAAATTATTTTTCAAGAATACCAATAGATCTTACATTGGAGCAAACTATTAATGCTAATGCAGCTAGAGGATTAAGTGGAATTTCACATTTTACTAACTCTATAGCAGCACGTCAACGCTGGACAAAAAGCCACAGCACTCTAGCTGCGTTAATTTCTCATGTTCTTGATGTTTTTGGGTTAAAAGAATATCAAGACGTTACTGCAGATTTAAGACCTAGTAGAATAAAAATTTATGCAAAACAAGTAACAGATCTTGTTAATATACTTGAAAATAATTTTAATCCATTCGATTCAAGTTTAGGTCGAGATAATCTTTATAATATCGCTACTGCCAAGCATACTGCTACAGATGTTGCTGAATTTTTACTAAATATTGAAAAGAATGGCGATATTTTAAGAAAACAGTTCATCAACGAATGTGCTGATAATGAAGAGAGATTCGACAAACCTATTAAAAAAAATCGAGTGCTTAACTTTGCTGCTGCTCCAAAAACAAAAGAATTCACTCTTGGTAATAAAGTCGTTGAATTAAGAATGCAAAGAGACATATTTGGTCGAATGTTGGGAATATCTCTAGGCCATAAGGTTGATATTGAAAAAGTACTTGCATTCCCACTTACGCCTTTGCCAACATCTATGTGTCATGCTGATGGAACTATTTGTAAAACGGATAAGGCACAGTTAGTCAAAATATTTGAAAAAACAATGGAAGACAATATCAATGAGCACCCGTTGTGTTTCGACATAACTATACTAGATGGCTTTTTATGTTACACCAAATGAAAGAAATACCTCAAACCTTTAATGGGTTATCTAAAAAGGTCCTTAGCATGATAACTCAATTTAAAGCAAATCGCATTGATATTATATTTGATCAATATTTTACGCCCTCAATTAAAGATTGTGAGCGTACACGTAGGGATGAATCGGCCAGCCCAGTTTCGATAGGAGCTAATCAAATACGACCTCATAACTTTACTGCTCAGCTCAAAAATATTTAATTCAAAGAAGCTTTAGTTAAATTTTTAATTAACCACTGGTCTACTGTTGATATGGCACCTTTGATTGGTAATAAAACAATTTACTTAAGTTTAAACGAGTTTTACTGCTATCGGGTTGAAGATAACAAGGTAATTATGACCAAAGATGATTTATTATCATGTGAAGAACATGAAGAAGCAGATTCTAGGATTATATATCACATTTGCCAAATTTATTTTGAGGCTGACGTTGTTATAAGGTGTTCGGACTCTGATATTTTACTCATACTTCTTAGTAACATGGACCATTTAAGTGCTTCCCTAAAACTTTGGCGTTGGAAATCATCAACGATATGTAAACATCAATGATATGTATATTATTCTGGGTAGTATTATGTCTAAAGTTCTACCGGGTTTCCACGCAATGACTGGATGTGATTACACACTTGCATTTTTCCGTAAAGGCAAACTCAAGCCTTTCAAACTATTGAAAGAATCGGTAGATTATTAATTAGTACTCCAAAATTTTGCTACCGATGACGAAGAAATACTGAAGGATGCATTTGTCACCTTAGAGAAATGTGTTTGTCATATGTATGGAATTCGTAATAGTAGCAATATCAATGATGTTAGATTTCACTTATTTTCTCCTACTTATCAACAACTTCGAAAAAAAATTTAAGAATTTCGATTCATCAAGCCTATCTCCTTGTAAAGTTGAATTACAACAACATTCATTACGAGTTCGCCATGTGACAAAGTTTTGGAGAAATGCTCACTTAAAATACCCCACGTCGTTATCACCACTAGCTTGCGGTTGGACAATGAACGACAACAAATATGACTTTGTTTGGTTCCTTGGTGACCAATTACCATCACTAGTTGCTGATATTATAGTTCAAGGTAAATATTAATAAAAAAAATTCACCAAACACGTAACCACTTACTTATAATCCTGAATTTAATTAATATTTTTCTTTACAGATAGTAAAGTTTTAGAAAACAACGATATACCTGAAGACAACTCTGACACTGATGAAAGCAATGATCACAATGTAAGTAGTGACGATGATGATGACCTTGAAGATGCTTTATTTTAATATGACACCATATTAGAATAAATATAATTAATTATAATTTGTATGTGATTGAGAAAATATTTATAATAAAAAAGTTGAGTTTTTATTTTGTTAATACCATGTGTTATTAAATTTTTCATTTAACTTTATTCATTCTGTGATTAAATTTTAATCTTTATTCTTATTCTTATTTCAAATATTTTTCTATCTATCTCTCCTGACGCTTCCTGTCGCAGCTATATCTCTCGCGGAACCAACTCATAACTTACTGCACTTTCCTATGTATCCGAGACTTAAATCGGTCTGGCCCTAATTAAACAACAGAATATCTGTATGGCAAATTAATTTTAGATTCTTTAATAGCATCACTATATCATATTAAAATTTCAGCTATACTAAAATGGTTTGAATTTTTTTGTTTTTTAATAATGAAATGGCATCTGGCACGGAGTTAGCAACATAAAAACTGTATGGCACGTTACATTAATATTGCTGAAAGGATATAGAAAATTATGAAGAAAAAAAAAATCGACCTAAATTGATTTGAAAATACGAAATTTGTACCTGTACAAAAAGGATGCGCAGAAGAAAACGCAACCACTCCCAGCAGCAAGATGTGCCGTATACCCATTAAGCTTCAATAAGAAAAGAAATATCAAAAGATCAGTCGACCTAAAATTCTTTCACGGAAACGTTGCTAGCTCTCGTACTATATAATGAAAGTGTTTTATTTTAATTTATTAGACTTCAATTATCTACCATTCTAGTAACGATGTTTTTTTGTTCCTTTTTTGAGATACCAGATGATTTTGAAAACTGTTCATTTTTTAAATGATGGATAAAACTTTACATATAAGAAGACGGTAGTACCACATAAATGTCTTCACAGTTCTTGTTATTCACTACACAAGAGGCAGCTCACTGATTCTACAAAAAAAAAGAAAAACAGAAAACATAAAAAATGGTTTCCAAAAAGTTGATTGGAAAATAACCTTCTACTAATGGCGTGTTTTCATCTTTATTTAATAAAAATACACAGGATCTTCAAGATGCAGCAGCGATTTCGGGAAATTTAAAATGAGCCTACTATAAATTCGAAGGTGTATATCCTAAAATCCCTTCTACAAGAACCTCCCTCGGAACCTCCTGAAATTTTTAAAGATATTGAAGTTTTGTCTGAATATTTTTTTTTTTTTTTTGGTAATGTTTGTTTTTTTGACTTTGTTTACTTTTGTATCACGGCCGTTTACAGTAAAAAATTAAAAAAAAAAAAAATTCCAGCGAAAACTATGCATTTTCTCAACGTCATATATGTATAACATCTGGTCTCTGTTACCAGTACAAATGGTATAAGTAGATGACGATTGGTCTCTGTTACCCAATTTTTTTAAACAGTAGATATAAGTACGAACAATAAAAATTGCTAGTTTCTTAGGATGTTTTATATTTTAAAACTAAAAATGAATATATTGAACATTACATAAACTATAATTAAGGCGAATAAAAATGTATAAAAAATCAAAAATACTAATTTTTGGTATGAAATTGAAGAAAACAATTTCGTTTTTGTGTGCTGCATAAAAATATCTTGCATTTGACACAAAATGCTGTCGTAGTATGTTTACAGTTGAGTTTCCTGCATCTGTTTTGTTTATCAGCATAATCGACCATATGTGTAGCTTTATGATAACGTAAAACTTCGCCAGCTATTGGTTGAATTTTCATCCTTCGCTTTTTGTGTTTGTTCTTCCAATGCTAGTTTGAAAGACCTCAATTGGGGAATGTTTTTGGCTGGTATATATTTTTTCTTTTGGATGTCTTTGTAATGAAACCATGAATTACAAACTGCCAAATCAAACATGTGGCTAATAAAACGAACTATCCACTTTCTGGTACGTGCTCGACAAGGACAGACTGCCAATATTCTGTCAGCAAGGTCTACTCCGCCCATATATAGATTATAGTTTTGAATAACTTCTGGTCTACTCACTAGTTCGTATTCCTTTTGTTGTCTAACCATCGAACTATGACGATGCTTCCATCGCCCCGTACCTTTATTTCACTTGTACCTCTTTAGTTTTTCATAAAATAATTTTCCGGCAAAAATATACAGTTCTTGGGAATTCTATTTTTCATAATAGTACCTGTTGCGTAAAAGCCTCTTTCAAGTAACACATCAGCGAGTTTTACCGTTGTAAAATAACGATCAAAATAAAGGTGATGGCCGGGCACAAGAGTCTCACATAAACTGATGATTGCAGCTTCACCCAAGGTTAATATTTGTTCTTGAATATCTGCAGAGAACGATGAAACCTTGATATATCATATCGCATATTACCCCATTAGTATTATTGAGCACAAAAATCTTAATGCCTACGGGAATTAGTTTACCTGGGCAATATTGACGAATACCACAATGACCAGTAAAAGGTAATATCATTTCATCAATACTTATGTTATCAGATCTTGTTTGAACATGACAGCCCTATAATATACTTTTAAATAGAGGCATAACCTTCCATATTTTGTTTGCCTTTTCTGCCTCAGTAACTTCGGGGTCATAAACGACTTTTAGATTGGATCTAATCATAAAAAATCGAGTTCGTGTCATAGAATTTCTGATAAATGGAACTCCATACGATTTCGACCAAAACATTCTAATTTTCGGTAGTTATATAGTGCTCATAATGAATAGAATACCAATTAATGTTTTTAATTCCTTAATTGTTAATCTGAGCAGTAAACCTTTCCTTTCCACGTACGTTCTATTTGTTGCTCTTACCATGATTTTCAGCATTTTATTATCGATGTATTGCTTAAAAAAATCTTCTGGTGTCCATTTCTGACAGTCCTCCTGCTTATATATTGGTTAGTGAAGAGGCTTCTCTGTGGGTATGAAATTACCTTTCCACTCGTCATTTACTGCCGATGCTGGAGCACTAGAAGTACGCCTTATTCTTCGTGTTGTCGCAATCCGACGACTACGACGTCCACAGTTATTTCTGGTAGGTCCACTTGGGCGTTGTACAAGCAATGATGATAGTGATAACTCAGATTCTGAACCATTGTTTTCAGTGTATTCTAAGGTGTCTGTATCTGACGAACTTTCAGAGTCATCACTGTGGTCACTTTGTAATTTGTAGGTTCATATTGATGATCATCTTCATCGGAGAGACTAATATCCGACTCGTATAGAGCTTTTTCAAGTTCCTTCTCACTTAGTGCTGCAACAAATGAAACCTTTATTTTATGTTGTTAAGTTAAAAATATTACTAATAATTTTTTTACAGTTGTTGACAACGCATGTTATATACCCGCATGATATAAAAAGAAAATATCAACAGAGGATGAAGGTCCCGTGTAATAGCAGAAGGACATAAAACTATCATGATCGATAAACAGTGTATATCGTCATAGATTACAAAAAATAACCATCGATTCATGTAAAGTGTTTATCAAACCACATTATTATTATAATAATGGAAATAAATAACATATGATATTCTTAATAATGTCAGGTTACTTACAGCGAATTCGGAAACGGTCGGCCATGTTACTACACCATTTGTCATATGCACTACACACCGAACATATTTTTACAGATTTCTTTGCAACCACCTGATATTGTAAAGTAAAACAGCTCTCCTTTCATACTTATTTTATTTTATTTATTTATCATACGGTTTAAACCATTTACAAAATACATAAGTTTATAGTATAAAAAATATACATAAATAATAAAATACTATGTAGACCTAACACATTTTTTTTACTTTGCCACTCTTTTCACTTGATACAGGGAAGAGTTAAAAATATCAATATTCTGTTTTACTGCAAATGTATTAGCATTTCTCAGAAGTCTGGCCATACCAATTCCTGAGCCATAGTTAGTTCTATGAGCTTTCAAAGCAAATGTTTAGCTACCACGCAACGGCCTAGGTGGGATATAAAAATCTACACTTTGCAAGAGTTCAGGAGAATCAACAAGGTTATTTACAAATTTACAGATAAATAGAAAATCAATAAATTCTCTTCGGGAAGCTAACGTTTCATTATTTGTTATGGCAAACATATTTGTATAAAAGTACGGTAGTGACAATTTAAAAGCACAATACATTAAAAATCTACGCTGTACTCTTTCAAGCTTTTCAATATGAATTTATGCATATAGTGACCAAATAACAGAAAAATATTCCAAATGTGACCTTATGAGCGAATAAAATAAGATTTTAATTGTATGCAAATTCACAAAGTCTGCGGAGTGCCTTCTCACGAATCCTAACTGTTTTAACACTTTCCCAGCAACATAATTGACATGCTGAGAAAAAGACAGATTAGATTGAAATATAACACCAAGATCTTTTATACTGTCAACTTTATTAATACGATTTCCATGCAACTCATAAGTATGATTAATTAGGTTTATATTAAGCCCCTTATAAAAAGACACTACCTTACATTTTAAGGGATTAATTAATAATCCATGCAAAAAGCAGTATTCATTCAAACTGTCTAAATTTTTCTGCAGTATGAGACAATCAGAGGGATCTTTAACGATATTAGACAATTTGATATCATCAGCATACATTAAAACTTCAGTATCATTTAATTGTTTCACCACATCATTAATGTAAATGTTAAATAACAATGGGCCCAAATGTGATCCCTGAGGGATCCCTGATATCGCTGCATATTCACAAGAAATGGCATTTTTAATTTTGACACGACAAACACTATCTGTAAAATAAGAAATTAGCCAGTTCAAAGCCTGTCCATAAATTCCTAGAGCATACAATTTACCCTTTAAAATATTGTGGTCAACTCGATCAAAAGCTTTCGTCAAATCTGTATAAATTTCATCTACTTGAAGACTATCTTCTACAGAAGTTGCAACATACTCGGTGAAGAGCATCAAATTGGTCGTAGTTGATCTGCCAACGTGAAAGCCATGTTGTTTGCTACTAATCACATTTGAAAGCTTTTCACTTAGTTGGTCATTAACAATACTCTCGAAAACTTTG